TATATATGTATATATATTTGGTGATTATTAAAATATGTTTGTTGATAGTAACGTTATATGCTTTTTCCTTCACCTTTTAGCAAAATATTTCCAGAGCTAAATCGTAAATGTCACGAGACTTTATAGCATACCATAAGCTAATAAATAAGCAACAAAAGTGATGGCTGATACTTTTCTACCATTTTTTTGTACGCAGAAAGTGTTGTGATTCTTTTCTCAATAGAGAAATAAGATTTTATAAGGGAATTTCGAATCCTTTAATAAATTCTATAAAAGTAAGTCAGAATTACAACGGCTTTTGCATTGATTTTATGCCCTCTTTACACCGCCAATACAGGTATTTTTGGTGGAAAGTTACAATCAATATCTCATTATATATTGTTACATAATGCATTTTTTACATGTCATTCAGACAAATGAATTATTTGGAAAAAGGTTCAGGGTTATGTTCACTGATGTTTTTTACGTAATTCTCTGTCCTTTATATGCATGATTCTTAATTGTGTTACATAACTTATGCACATGCATAATCAATCATAAATTGTACATAATTTCAGTATTTTTGATAATAAAGTGCTAATTCGACAAAACACGCTTTTATGTGCACAACATGGAATTTGCAAAAGACATGTGGATAAGACACAATAACAATTATCTGTGTGCTTCTAAATGTTATGATGACTACGGACGCAATCATTTGAGCCTACCCACACGAATGCTCAGTAATTAATTAAATTGGAGGGGAGAAGGTTATCATACGCATAATAGTTAGTAATAAGAGCATAAAGCTTCCTCAAGAAATGCTAACTGAATGCAACTTAGAGTAAAGCAGCTGTGCCTGCTATTAGTGATATAATACTTGTTTACAAGTCATATATATACCATCGATAACTACAGCACCACTTACTAATCTGTCATTTTGCTCATCTACCTATCTATCTACCTACTAAATAACTAGTCAGCATGAGTACAAAAACGTATTTATAAGTGAAGCAAAATGTGCCAGTACTAAACATGTGCAACTACTTTCTTAGTAGTCTTCATTTCTTGCCTTCTTCCTGTATTTTACATATTATGCAAGTATAAGCCCCCTGAAAGTTAGACATAACAATTACATTACGAATCTTAACCATCACTGAACACCACAGATTACACGCCATCATGCTATGCTTCAATTGTGTTGACAATTTAACATTACTATCTTTCGTTTCTCTAACTGAATATCAACCTCCATCAATCACATTTTCGCAATTCATTTCAGTCTCTGCTATCTCTGTAATCTTCATTCTATATGTTTTATTTTAGATTGCATACTTTCAATAAGGATGAATCCCGTGACTATCTGTGATTCTATAAACTGTTAGAAGTAATGAAGTGTATTTTATTTCTTGTCACGTTACTACGTCTTATGTTTATCTCTCTTTTATCTATCATATTCTTCTGTGCTCCTTTCCATGCATCATTTTGTCTCGTCATCCTATACATCATTTTTATAGCCTTATCAGTTACTAAGTATGCGTATTATTTATGTAATGACTGTCGTGAATCACCTTTTGCTTTATTACTGACTGTTTTAGAAAACATTAAAACATATTGTTGGATATCGTTATGTGATTTATTGCTTTTTCGATATTTTATATATTATTACTCTTGTTGTTTGTTGTTTTGTTTACTGATCATCAATCGGTTGATCTTGAACACTTTACAGCAAATTAAATCAAGTTTAAGTTCAACTAATCTTTGCATTTCATTCATTAGTGAAGTTGGATGAATGTTTATTTCTTAGATTTTGATGACTCGTAAAACAGTCTGAAATTTGAGATGCACTCTATCAGGTCCTTTGCAAAAGGATGCTTTACAAGTTGACATACAGTTTTGCATGAGTTACCCATTTTATCAATCAAGTAAATTAGTACACTTATTTAGTTTTCGTAAAGTTAACCGTTGTGATTTTCATTTCACCTCATGTCTGGTTTTCTACCATCATTTGAAAGTCGATAATATCATATATTCCTTTAGCATTTTTTTCGATATCTTACTTTTGCAAATATACGCGGTTTTTATACACTTTATATTTAAATTTATACAGCAAGTCAAAAATAAATATGACAGAATTAAGTTGTTGCATACCTTTTTGATAGCATCAGCTGTTCAATCCGGTTAGTTGAAATAAATAAGGCAGAGGTGTATTTATTTCGATTTTTTCGGATTTGATATTACTATTAGTAGTGATTGTTTTAGGTACTAACCATTTACTGCTTATGAAATTTGATGAAATAACTAAGAAATTACTTGAACTTATCGATTGGAGTACTGCAGATGCCAACTGCACTTCACTACTTCCATTTACGACAGATCAACCTTCTGCTCGGTATTTCATCGAAAGTAAGCTACGTTTGCTTTTATCTCATAACTTATTACTAAGGTTTATTCCTCATTCTTTGAACGTTTGATCTAACTTCTTGTTTCCTTGAAATTACAATTCTGGTTACTCGATATTTTATTTATGACTGCAGTCAGTTGTTTATTAATATTGGTACATATTTAGAAATAATAGAAATTGATACATATATTGTTGGAAAATAAGAACAGCCGTCAGAATTTAAAATTTTTTTCAGATGTAACTGGTGCATTTTTCATTCTCCTAGTAATTGCTACAGTCTTTGCTTGTTGTGTTCTGATGTTAGCAGCTACCCATTGGTATTATGTATGGACTTACGTTGCCGAAGAAAAACGACGAAACAAGCTCTATTTTCTGCTATCGTTATTTCCGGTAAGTGTCCTTATTTCAAACTTGGTAATTAGAGACAAGTTTCTATTTTTGAAACTTGAATGATGTTACTATGTGCAATTTTTGACAAAATCAAGGTAAGGTTTTAGATCTATGCATTTGGTTAAATTAATTTATACTAAATTGTAGGTATCAACGTTGTGTTGTTATATTGGGATGATATCACCACGAACTTCGATGGTGATGTCTTCACTTGGTGTTTTGTATTTTCTGGCGTGCTTGTTCATACTCATTTCACTAATAAGGCACTTATTTGGTAACCGTGACGCATTCTCAGCCACACTTTTGATCGATAAAAAACCAATTGATTTCCAAAGTCCTCCATTTTGCTGTTGTTGCCCTTGTTTACCAACAGCAAGAAGTACTGTGTATGTTTTGAAATTAATTTTTTTTCAAATTTTAGTTCCAAAAACAAGGCAACATTTCGTAAAGGAACCCTTGTGCTTGTAATGAGAAAGCTCCAGAATACTGCAGTGTCATAATAGTTATTTTACTAATATTAAAGAAAACCTATTAAGATAATTTATTTTTTTACGTTCTAAATTTTTCAAAATGTTTTAGGAAGAATTTGCGGAATCTAGAATGGTTGGTTCTGCAAGCACCTGTGGTGCGTACAATCATTGTTACTTTCAACGTCATTGCGATTGCAGAATGGCGTGAGGCTGCTAATAAGTATTAAGATTTTTCAGTGCATGTAGGATGCAAGGGAAAAATAAATTAAGTCAATAGGTTTTGCTCTTGTGATAATAAAATAATTATGACGTCTCTGCAATGATTTACCGCATTTTCATTGTAAGAACTGGATTTTTTTCGCTACATAATGCCTTGTTTTTATCTATTAATATCAATAGATTTCATTTGTATATCAAGAGTATCTATGAAATCTCGGTCAATTTTTTTAAGTAGAAACTTTCGCAGTATAATGAAGTCATGGTTAATTTTTTCCAGATACATACACTTGAGTGAAACGATTTCTGTTGCGTCGTTACTTCTAGCTATTTTTGGTGTCCATACTTTGGCTCGTTTAACTTCTGTTAGTATTTCAGTACATTAGTATGTTTTAAATACTTTCTTATGAAGTTTTCATTTTTTTCTGTCTATAAATAATTTTCATTCTTAGGATAAACTTGGCCAGTACGGGTTTATGACTGTATTCCGAGTGGTTGATATTGCACTCCTATTTTTCACAGCTCAACAACCAATGATTTTTGACAATATTTTGATACGTTTTGGTGTTTTAAAATGCGGTCCATTACTATCAGCCCGTGATAATGCGCGATGTAAGTCAAGGTTTTCAGCTTTTCTATTTTGAACTGGTTTCAGTGTTGTTTTCAATGTTAGTATCTGTTAATTAAATTGGTATTGATTTTTCACTGAATGGATAATACGGTGTGAAGTGATATTTTTAGTATCAGTTTAGATGGTTGTATAACTGGAGAGAATTTAAATTGAGTTGAAATAGCTATCTTAAATTTTAGTTATATGCAATTTTGTAATTATCATGGAGATGTTGCTATTATCAGCATTTACAACTTACATGGTGGCTCCTACACGAAGTGCGTTGTTTGATTTATATGATCCAAAGAGACTGGATAGCATGCATTCCGGAATAACTCAGGAGAGCTTGCTCAGCAACTCTGAAACTATCAGTATCATGCTGAATTGATTGTCATGTACTTTTCACTATCAGTACCATGCATTTACTGTAATGGACTGAGCATATTCTCCGTCAGCTTAATTTCCGTTTATAATAAATAGTCTAGTGCCATTGATTATTACCATTAAATGTGTGAATAGATTTTAGATCACTTTTACAAATCATAAATTTGTAATACATTGGTACGAAAAGATATTAGTTAATATCTGAAATCATCATTACGTAACTTCTTTGTATTTCATTTTATTGAAGTGCATATTGATAACTGTAACCGTTTCCGCTGTCATCGTATTGCTTTTCAAATAAATATTTTTTTGAGATTCCATATCGCACTGGTATGACATTTTACAATATTTAGTACTTTTATTAGGTCAGCATCTTAAAATTAGAAATTACTTATTATTGTACATAACATCAATTAGGTGGATGGTATGGTTTTATGTCGTGCGGTCAAAAGGTATCGCTGCAAATTTTCCCTCAAAGTGTCAACTGTAAATGAATAAGAACTTTAAAAGGGGTTGTAAGTCAGATAGTTTGCTGTATGGTGTCGCTTTTGTTGCTATTAATTTGGCTATATTGCAATGAGGAAGATGTAATTATTTTTCTTGTAGAATATTGCAGTGAACTAAATGGTAGTTTCATTTGGATTATTTGGTGAACAAAATAAGGATTCTATTGATCAAAATCAATTACATTTGAGGGCCAAATTACATTTAAATTGGCAATTTCAGGAAGATGGATTCTATAGCTGATATCAGTAACTGCTTCAGATTAGTTTAACACATTAGTATGCAACTGTGGCATATTTTGATGAGAATCAAGTTACGGGGTTTTAATTATTGTTCACATTCAAATATAAAAGAACTAGTCAGTTATTACCAATCTTCTCATAATGTTATCAAAACACTAATAATCAAGGAAAGGTTGTCATAACGGTACAAATCAAGTTAATAATTTTGTAATATATATTATTGAGGGGACGCTATTTTCGGATAATTAGGTCAAAGGTGTATCGAAACAGGTGAATTGACCTATTGGCGCTAAGTTGCACGCTGTCGTTATAGAGCGTTCCCAGTATAACTTGTTACCATGTCTGACCATTTGTTTCTTGATTTAAAAAATTATTCAAATTTGAAATGCATCAATTTATTATACTTTAATATCAATAATTAGCATTGATTATCTTAACAAAGATACTTTTATCAAAATTTGCATTGTATTTTGCAATATATTACTTACTGTCATGTAATTTTAATATCTTTTAATATTTAACAATTAGAAAGCAAAGTCTGAAATGCAATGAAAGTGAAATAAAATTGTAAGTGCTAAAATCAAGCAATTAGAATATGAATAAACTATTTAAAATGGTTGATAATGTCTAATACTCATTATTATTGGCATGCAATTTTAGTTCTTCTAATGTAATGAAAAAAAATTAAAGTAATCGAAGCTTTGATGATAGCAATAAATGTCATTTATTGATGATAGCATTATTAATTATTATTGTTGTCATAATTGTTAGTATGTCAAATTTAGTGTCAAATTTTGTAGTAAACAATTTAAGAATGAAATGTGTGTAAGCAATTGAAGAGCGTGCGACCTTGAATTCAATTTATGTATAAAAGTGATTTTGTGAAGTTCCTCACTGCAATTCTTACTCTTGCATTATCATTAAATACTTTGATTGCCGCGGTTGAAGGATGCATGGCGACAAGACCATCAACAACTACGACGACACCCCGTACGCTTATTTGCTTTATCTTGAAATGTATTTGCCATATTCAAATTTATTATTGCGTGAATAAAATTTTCAAATTTGCTGTCATTTAACATTTATTACTGATTATGATCAGCTTTTAAAATAATTAAAATTAAAATTAGTAATATTTCAATTGATTATATCAGTTTGTTGTCCTGCGTTAACGACGACGAATCCACCGCGGGTCACTCCGCCAACCGGAACAAAAGGAGCTGGCTTAGACGAATGTTCAATTCTACGCCGATTTTCGAGAGGAGTTTGCCCACAATACGCACAGTTGGTTTGCTCCAGGAGTCCCGGAACAACGGTATTACTATTATAATTATACAACCATATCTTCTTCACAGAAATAATTGAGCAAATATCAGTAATAATTGTAATATTTATAACAAACAATTTTTATGTAATAAAAATTAGGGTACATTTATTAATTGTTGCTTTTAGTACAAAATAGAGGTTAAATTGTTTACTCTTTACTTTCTCATTGCTTTTTAAAATTTAAGATATAATGTTATCTTATTAATTTTTCTTACATTTCAGGTGAGTCAAGTAATAATACAAGTAGTGAATGGACCGACGCTGGTAGGCGACAATACGGGGCCAACGGTGGCTATGCTTACAGTTAGTTGACTATATTTATTAAGCATTCGTGATGCTAAGAATAAGATTCATAACATCACTGATTATAATAATAATAATAATAACAACACTAATAATATATTATTATTATAATAAAAATTAGACAATCACGAAAGTTCATCTAACCATTGGTACTTAATCATTTGCGCTGAAAATATTTTTTACTGTATGATGTCAATAATATTCTTTCGGACTTAATAGTTCATGCTTAAACAATGTTTTTTGTTAATTTAATGACAAAATTGAAACATGATAAATGAATAAGTTCAACCGGAAAAAAGATATATGCAGATCGAATGTGTAGCACCGGGAATATGGATGTACCGCAACAACAAGCACAAACTATTCGAATTTACTGGCGTGTCATGTAACCAAGGTACGCTTACATCCGGTGATTATGTCATTAACTATTCTTTATTTAGTGAACATGGTCAAAAAAATGAAGGCAGTCATAAAGGTCATGAATGATTGATAAATTATTAATTTTTGTTATTATATAAATATGTATATATATAATATGAAGTTATTCATTTGTATGTTAATAATATAAATTATAACTTTGGAAAACTTATATTTTATGATTTGTCTCAACTTGTGCAATACACCACTCCTAAAAAGGTAATATTTGTATATATAATGCATATTTCATATCGAATTGGATTCAAGTGCTTATATGAACAAAAAACTAAAAGTAGATCAATTTTTCAAGGTAATATTTTATTAGCAAAGTGAATTATTCGTGAATTAGCCTAAAAAATTATGATTGTTAATTGCTGAAATCCTAACACAAAAACGTGAACAATCGACGTAAATCTCCAAATGCTATTGCCGTCGAATTATTCCAGAAAGAAATGAGAAATATTAAATAAATTTGCTCGAACTTGTTGCAAACACTAGATTTACTGGTTTGCTAATTTAAAGTTCTAGCACTAGCATTATTCTTCTAAGTATGTCTTACTGGTTTAAATTACTAACCCTTGGCATTATCTACAATAATATTTCATACCATATATGAATAACATTTCACATTTATCTGTGAAGAATCTGAGGCACAATTATGATTATTTTGGGTTGCTTTAGTGTTTTCAGTGCTTACATTAGTAGCCAGTAGATGAATTTATGCCTTGCTTAAAATATCGTAGTACACAAGACTTTTGTCTTCCATTGATGAACAGCACGCGCGTCACACATAGATAGCATCATTCCCAGCTATATATACTTCACATCTATTTCTACTAATGTTTGGTTTGGAAACAAATGCATTGACCCCCAGTAGATTTGAGTGCAATAAGACCATTACATATCAATTCGTAATGAGGAGACTTGACAAATACTAAAAGAACTATATCCTATGCCATTGCTTGCCCACTTTTTAATACAGTTAATCTAGATTTTCTTTGCACGCTGACATCTCCTCTCATGATCCAATTTGTTGAATTGATCAACTGAATTTAGTGTAATCTTGATAAAGCCACAGAAGGAAAGAAATTCAGTCAGCATTATCTGCATAATTTATTTGTAACGTACAAGACAAAATATAGTCCCCAAGTCTTCAGAATATGAAAGTATTTATTCTTATTAAAAAATTATCTGAATCTAATATAGCAACATCTAGTTCAGATCAAATATACAATTATAACAAGTGAGACTGAAAACTCGTACAGGTCATGTACTGCAACTGTGATTGAACTCGAAAATAAAGAGCGAAAGAATGATATTTTTCTGAGCAGAACAACGTCCAAAGGAGCTTCCTAAGATCTTACGAAGGTTTTTATGAATCAAGAAAAGCTATGTAAAGCATTATTCAAAAATGGCTCATGACACGAAATCACTAAAATAGTTGTACATATTTATAACATAAGTAAACAAAACTTTTGATACAGGGATCCCGGGGAATTAAAGTTGTATACTACGTGTATAGTCATATTCTATAGTTGGGATCACTGCCTGAAATACAAGTCATTTAAATACAGAACATGTTAAAGGCAGTTTCTAACTTGCTAATCCACAAAATATTAATACTAAGAAATGAATGAACTAGTCACAATTATACTACTAGTAAAGGGCTGAATGCATATTAAAAAATAGCAACTGATAAAGAAATGGCCAGATAGTTCAAGATAGAGTTACTTGCAAACATAATAAAATAACCAACCTGAACAAACTTGAGAAATATAAGAAGATATTGATCAACGACAAGTTCTTTCCCAGATTCAGCGAGTTGTTCAATGAGACGTTTCATTACTTCGGCATGTCTGCAAGGATGAATAGATGCCATCGCCGTGCGAAAATATGGATGAGATTCCATCGTGATTGTTTTATTCAGATGATCCTAAAATTATAGGATCTACACAATACGAAAAGAATTGAAACGTTTTCCGGATGGCAAAAAGACCAAAAGTACATAAGCAATGGAGATCAGAAAAAAGCATCGGTAACTCGAAATTTTGAACCTGCGAAAAATCTGCGCTCATTTTTTCGACAGTAAGTGGCTTATTGTTTTCATCATATCCAGATAACCAAAGTCGTGGTACCTAAAATATTTTTCATTTCTATTATAAAAAGCAAAACCCTCAAAAATCATCATTTCCAACTTTTGTGTTTCTTTTTTTTCTAGAATGCACTCATTGATGAGCAATGATAGTTAAATAAACCCCATTATCTCATTTAATATAAATAGGATGTTAGCGAATAAAATCAAAACTACATTACACACAATTTTTGCTTTCAAAATTTTACCTGATAATATTTATCATAAGTTATATAGAGATCATATGTTCGCGTATGAAGCACATTGTCCACATCTCCTCCAACTTGTTTGCTTCCCTCTTCAACAAATCTTAAAGAAACATAACCCATGCAATAGTATACTTGGTGAGAAATCAATAAATCCAGATATAGACATGATAATGAAAGTGCTTAAAATTTGAACCTTTTTTCCATAAAAATATGCCTGTTAATTTTAGATAGAATATTGACAAATTCACCTATAAGGATCGTCCTCCTCCAGACCCCCTTCAGCTATAAACTTATCCATGTCCATTGGTGGTGTATCATCATCGACATCACTTGCTCCATCAGAATTTTCTACCTAAAATAGTTCAGTTTAAAGCATCACAAAACTGAATACGAATTAATCCAATAAATATCAAAAGACGCACGGGGGAAAGCTTTTTCTCAGGTACTTCGAACATTGATGCAGGTTTCTGATTAGTCTGTAATGCATAATGATGAGTGTCTACCCATCCTTCATCATCTTCAACATTCGTAAAATCATCTTCTTCGTTCCACTCTTTAGCTTTAAGTATCTAAAAAATCTTTTTCGTACTCATATACGATTTCTTTTCGTAATCATGAGAAACCTGTAAACACATGCTACAAAATGTTAAACTAGCTCTGTATATCATAAACATTTTTTTTAAACCACTGATAACAATGCGAGGATGGAGCTGATAGAATAGCATGAAAGATCACAACACCGATATTTTTCCGTCGGTGTCAGCTATACACAAATTGCAATTCTTCTGCTATATATTACCTAGATACATCATACTTTAAAACTTGAGAGAAGTCATGACAATATATGCGATACTGCAAAGTATCCTAAATCAAGCAAAAATTTTATCCTTCTCAATTTCATACGTATGGTTGTGATAAAAAGAGCAAAAATGAGACAACCTTTTCTTGTGTAGGATCATACTCCATATCTACGCATCGACTGAAACAAGGCACATTGCGAGTGATTAAGAATTGTTTATTCTCTGGAAGATATGGCTTGGCTCTGAAACATATCAAACCACGTACATTGAGTTTTCCAAAAAAAATTGAAGTTTCTGTTGTACATTTGTTTATATAAAAATTATTCCATATAATTGTGTGAGAAAATAAGGAATGAAATACCTTCTACAAGAGCAAATTTGAAAGTTTCGATGCAAGTTGTGTATTTCAGTAATGAAAGAATCACATAAATATAAAGATGTGACTTACGTATGAAAGTAAATATGGTTTAGTTTAAAAAAAAATTTTCTAAGCTATTCAATCAGTCAATCAATTTCCGTTCATGATGTGCGCCTGTATTAGAAGATTTCTTCTGCTCAGAACTTTAATTTTGTCCATAACGTATAGAACGAGTGTCAGTTTGCTCATCATCAAAAACAAGCCAAATAAACACAAGATGAAAGTAATCATAACAACAAAACGAAGATCAAATTACTTTGAAGGGTCTAACAATCCCCAAGACCAAGTTGGGTAATGATGCACAAGATGATCACCAGCAGTAACAAATTCTTCAGGGGTTAATACGCCAGTTTCTTTAAATTTTGATTCTCGTAGTACTGGCGTTAAGAACTGACCTACATCAAGAGCCATGCTCTTAACCGAATTCATAATAGTCTCCATTGCACGAACTCGATATCAAATGCGAGCAAAAGACCTAAAATGAGAAAAACGAATATATTTTTGCTCTTTTTATCCACTGCAACATTTCTATAATCTGAGAATGAAAAAAACTGATTTTTGTCAACTAATTTCAGGAATGCGCGATACAGTAACTCAATTTTGTATCTTTATAAGCTACTTTTGCATATATTTATGCTTGTTTCTGTATGAATCGAACAATGCCTAATGGTCAGATCTTACATATGTCATAAGAACCAAAATATTCTTTCTTCAATGCCTCAAAACAATCCGATAGCACATTAAAACTACTAATAAAGTACTCCTTTCTTCCCGCGATATCACGATATTAGCAAAAACTGCACGACAATAACTCCCATCCTTGCCCAATCGCAGCGGGACACTTGTCGCTTCCATTAAATTATGATGCTCTATGAAACGAAATGTGAAATGAAATAACATTAATAAACATATGTTGAACTTCATGCAGTCACGACGTCGTTTACGAATGTTGTACTTTAATAAATAAAAAGAAAGAACTTATTGATTAGTTCGATTGTTTGCTGGTTAATTATTAATTACGATAATAGTGATAATAATATTTAGTCAATTGTATAATTAGAAAGAGGATAATTTGCTCAAGCTTATCAAAGTAGCAATTTTTGTGAAAGTATCGATTTATTTCGAATAAATATCTGATCAAATCAGGCACACTTTGCATTATGTTAGAGTTTAAAAACTTCAGACCATTCTAGTGGCAAATAATTTGATAAATATTTAATAATCACATTTTTGCTGCATAATTTGTTGTAAAGAAGAAGACAAATTTATCGTATTTTGCAGATTTACTCCATGTAAAGTACAGGTAAAATGATGCATTGATGAAGGTGACAATTGCTGCCAATTATTATAATTAAATTATACAAATAAATTAAAAAAGATTTAAAATTTATTAAATTAAAAGTGCATCAATAATGTTCATTTATTTTTTGCTCTAGCTGTTGCAAATAAATTTAGAAAATATGTGAATCTAATTTGCATAAAAGAATTTGATAATGCAGAGTGATATTTTACATTATGCCTTAATGGTATATTCGAGAAAGGGCGCAAATTTGATATTCTTTCAAGATATGAAGACATTAAAGCAATAAAATTGTAAATGGAAAGGTGAAAAATAATATGCAAAAAATTATTGAGAATAAATAATGAAAGATTTATTATCAAAATAACTTTAGATACTTATCAAAAATGAATAAAAAAATTGGAAATGACCAAATTTTAATTTTATTTAATTGCACAAAATATTCAAAACTATTTTTTACTAAAACGTGAATGAATCACGTTGGCACATTATTTGCTGTACAATTTTTTCAAAAAAAAAAAAATATTCTGAAGGTCTTTGGTAAGATATAAAGAGATAGTAAAAGACTTAAACTAAAATGCAAGTCAAAAAATTAAAGTTCAATTTTTCGACAATTACTTTTAAAGAAAATATACAGTTAGCAAGACCAAATAACGAAAGTTCTTAAATTATCAGTATTTGTTAACAGTGCATTTTATGTCTTGAATACTTTTGAGCGGACAGAATTTTTTGAAGTAATAAATGCTTTTTTATCTTTTTCTGATCTTTCTATCTAAAGAACTTGAGATATAAAGATGTAAAATCAGACGTGTAAATTACTCACTATATCAGTGTAATCATAGATATCACTAATTATAATTTAAAATGCTATCCTTTTTACGGAATATTGATTTTCATAACAATATAAACTTAATTTCTATCTAATATCGTATTTAATTATGATACTCATAAAGTTCCCACTATTATGCTGCTCAATTTCAGCACTATTTAAAGGAAAAGTATTAATCTTGTACTTCAAACTGTACTGAACAATCATTTTGCAATTATTTGTATAATGTATTCTCAGTAAACTATTTTATTTCTATAAGAAATTTTGATAACTGACTGATAACTGAGCATAATTAATTAATCATCTATGTTATCAATCATTATGAATGTAAGAAAAAAATTGCAATTTTAGTTTTCATATTCAATGAATGAAGTGAAAATTGGTGTTCACAATGAAGAATGAATACTGAAATGAAATGAATTGAATACTTATTACCATGCGAATAATATTTAATGATAAAATTGCTGTAAACTGAAGATAAACAAATTCAAGAAAAAACTTTATCAGCATTATCACATCGAAAATAATAAATATCTGCAATGCAAATATATGCTTTTGAGCTCAATAATAAGCTGACATGATTTAAATGCAAATCAAGAATAAAAAGCTCATTTTTTTATAATTTATCGAAAAAAGTTAAAGCTTATTTCAGCTCTAAAATCTGAAAACAAATATTAACAAATGATAAGCTATGCAAGTGAATTAATAATATGTTATTAAGTAAACTCTATAAATAACAACGTTTCCTTAGAAAGCATATGCTAAGAATACATTAATTTCCGTATTATCATCAAATATATTGAAAAAAAATAAGCTAAATATAACAATTATCGATGCATACAGAAAGTGATCACCAGAAAATGATATACTGTAAAACAAAATATTTAGTACTAAGTAAAAGCGAAAAATTGGCTCAATTTCTATTTGCAGCCTATATTAATTCACTGATTTGATTGCTTATAAAAAACAACAAAATCATTAAAATTTTAATGCCACGGAAAAAAGAGAAGAATTAAATCAGTTGAACAAACTAACAAGTACATCAAATATTAATTCTTTCGTCTTACTCAGCTTGACCTATTTTCTACAAACTGTCTTTTAAATTTGAAAACTTATCAGTTCAATGACACATTTTCATATAATCCACTAAGTATTAGATGCATATTTGCTTCACATTCCAAAAATAATTTGCATAATTTTATTTATTTTACGTACCATAACTTTATAAAAAACAAAAGGAATGCAAAAGTAGTATAAGTGAGCTTATCATTTTTTTTTTTGTTGATAAAAATGGGCAGAAAATTTTAAGAACAAAAAAAACATTACTAAATACTGGTAATTTTTAATCACTTTGAACAATTTTAGCAATTAAACTAAGTACTTGTTAGAAGAAAAAAATTGAAAAAATAAAGTAGAAACGAAGATAGAAATGAAAAATGAATTTTTATTTTTAGATATCAATTTCATTTTGATAGTAATACGTGAATTGCAAATGATTGCAAAAATTTTTCAATAAATAAAAAAAAAGAAAATTTGTTTTCAATAAAAACTGATAATTTGTTTTGTCATCATTTATAGAGACAAAAAATTTGCTATTTGCAAAATGAAATAGATGACTATTTTCAGCTTATTATACGTAATGTATGAGTATAAATATTTTCTCACGTAATAAATCTGAAAAAAGTACGAAAAAATTATTATTATTCAGTTGTTCACTTACTTTTCGATATTTGATAAATCATTATTATTTCACCTCAAAAATTTAGCATTAAGTAAATTTTTTTATTACTATTTTTTGTTAAGAATCTAAAGATTTTCTCATAGTTTTGTCGATAACAAATTTTTATTCAAAGCTATTTTATGCAGTTTAATGTAGATTATTTTAATAAGTGCGCAAGTTTTATTTACTATGCATACAATTTGAGAAAAAAAAATCACAAAATTTTATCAGTACTTAATTAATTTGAATTTTTGAGAAAATAGATTGCTTTTATCGAAAGAATTTATTTAACAGCACTGAAAATAAAAACTATTCAAAACTTGAAAGTATTCAAGTTCTAGTATGATAGCATGAGAACATTGTTAAAAAAAGATTCTAAGAAGTTTGACGACAGTTATCAACAATTTTAATATATATAACATTACTTCCGTTACGTATAAATGTTTACTAATTGCTAGAAGAAAAACTGAAATAAAATAAAATATTGAATTCACGTAAAAGATTATTGCTCAATGCTGATTGCAGTGATAATAATTAGCAAAATAATATGAAAACAATTTATTTAGTATATATTAGAGCAATAAATTCAGTATAATCAAAAAACTTTAACATTACTTTTGTAATATAATAAAAACTGTAAAAAAAAAAATTAGGAATCATATTGTAATATTTATCAGACAATTTACAACTAAAAATTAAAAAATTATTATGTTAAAAAATATTATGAATATACATTTTTGAACCTTATTATTAAAGTAATATGAAAAATTAATTTTTTAAGTTTATGCGAACTAATTAAATTAAGCAGAAAAGTTTTTTTTAGAAAGTCAATGCTTCTTAAAGCAAACTAAAATTGTTGCAATTCAAATGCCCACTAAGTATTGGCGTAAAATAGTAGAAAAATATTTTTGCACAAATATAACAAATGCAATTTTTGATTTATGAATGTGTTAGAGCAAATATGTAAGATGGTCAAAACATGACCTTTAGTACTGAGTACAAAACTTAATAAAAAAATTTGTTTTTCTGAAAACAATGCTAGTTAGTTAATGTTTCAGTATTTTTCAAAGCTTGAAATACTCGTATTTTTTAAAATTTTCCCCTAAAGTTTTGAAAAAAAATTTAAAAACTGACAAAAGCTTTATTAAGTTTGATATCTAATTTTTATTCAGCAACTTTTTTAGCATTAAAAATTTTTTTTTCACTGAAAATTAATTTAAATGCGATCACAAGTAATCATTACTGCAAATTTCAATTATTTCTGTAAATATGAATTGTGCAGCAATAGTTTTAGTTTTATTAAGGGACAAAATGAAAAAATCAGAAATTTACAAATAGTATACATTTACTATGAATAAAGACATAAGCAACATTTTGTGATGATAATAAAAAACAATTTATTACTTGTTTAATAACTTTAATATGGATGTAAATTTTTGATATTTTGCCTAATTACATATACAAATGTCAACAAGCGATTCATTTTATTACAAATGTATAAATTTTAAGTTTTTTATAAATGAATTTTTTTGCACTGTTTTTCTATCTGTTTAAATGTAATAAATGCATTTATCCAGAAGTATTGTGCTTAT